AACTGGGATGGGAGAAAGGAGAAGGCGGGGGGATATATACACACACAAACAAGATAGCTAAGATAATTGTATTACTCATTCTGTTAGCTCATTGAAAGGAACAATTAGTGCTTATATTGTTTGATCAATTTTGCATGCTGATATCTGGTAATTTGAGCAACTATCTAGGAGACAGCAATGTGCAATAGAATAACCATTGCAAATTTCCTATCATCTTGTTTTGAAATTCTATATCATTTTCATTGTTTTTTTTTTAAATGCTCTTTAAAATAAAAAGTAAAAGAAAACCACTCCCACATGCAAGCAATAGAAGACATTGGCAGGTGGTATTTGGGTCCTGGGGCAGTTACAGACCAATTGAGAAGGAAAGAAGAACATGGGTTGCAATAATTAAGAAAGACTTCTAGGAAGTGAAATTTGATTTCTCTGCTGATTAGAAAAATGGGGGAGGGGAGAGAGTTATGAAAGGCAGAAACATACGAGCACAGTTATCTCCTCCCCTTCTTGACAGCTTTTCTGCTCTTGGACTTGACAGTGTAGTCTTCTCGCCCTTCTGAAGAACATGGAAAGCCTGACCTCTTTTGTCCCCTCCCCTTGGTCTTCCTTTTCTCTCTTTCTTCCATGGGAAAGAGCATGTGTACCAAAGATGGTGCCTTCTCATTAAAACATGAGTGGTTCATTCTGTCTTGCTTTGAATTCTGGATCTGAAAGCTCTGCCCCTGCTTTCCAGATATCTTTTGCATAATTAAAAATGCAAATGGTAAAGTATTTTTACTCCATAAAGACTTAATCAGTCACATCATAAACTACTCTCTCTCAGCATGTCCTCCTCTGGAAAGGAGGTCCAAGCCCAAGCTTGCAGGAAGGCATCTCCATACTCAGTTGGGACAGATTGGACAGAGAGGACAGTTCAGGAAGACAAGACTATATGGACAAGGCCCACTTACCAGCTCCTTAAACCACTTGTCCCTCAGCATGCTTGGGACATGGGTTCCAAGACCCATTGCACACCAAAATCTGCAGACACCCAAAACCCTTAAATAAGTGGTGTAGAGTTTCCATGTGAACCTGCACAATCCTCTGATGTACAATAAAACATCTCTAGATTACTTACAATGTGTAACACAATGTCAATGCTATGTAAACAGTTGTTACACTGTATCATTTCAAGCACAATGACAAGAAAACTGTCTATGCTTTCAGCACAGTTATTTTTCCCAGCTGTCTTTCCATCCCAGGGTGGCTGGTTCTGCGAACTGGGAACTGTGGGTATGGAGGGGCAAATGTGTTTGCATCCAGGACTGCTGGCAGGAGCCACAAACCCTCTCTTGATTCAGTGCTGGTAAATAACCTAGGGAAGCACCATATAGAACAGGCTACATCTGCAAAATATAAGTTACAGGCTACAAGCTAGCTGCCAACAGACCTATTTTATTTGCCTTACTTAGAATTTAAGAAGAAAATAAGTCCACTTCTGAATTTAGGGCAAAAAAAATTTTTTGTATTTGTGACTTATTTTTTTTAAAAATTAGAAGTCCACACCAGGCCTGTGACCACTGTTTGTCCCAGAAGACAATTGGTGGTTCCTCACACAGCAGGTTCTCCTTTTCTTTAGCTGGTGGCATGGGGGTGTTGGAATTTGCCCCAGCCAGGAAACCTATCAGCATCATTTTCAGGGTGTTGTCCCTATACCTGCACCAATTTCCGAACAGACGTGGGTTCCTGGTTCTGGGCTAGGCTAGCTGAATGAGAGATTTAAAGATGAGCCATAGTGATCCTTAGTGAGCTCCCTGAGTGATCCTCAGGGACACAGAGCAGGCATGGAAACCACTGCTGCGCATTTCTCCGGAAGGTGTTGTGTGAGAGAGAAGCCCAGATCATAAAGAAGCAAAGCTAATGGTGTTCACTTAGTAGATAAACACACACACACACACACACACACACACACACGCATACATGCACATGCTCCATTCGAGCTATAAAAACCAATGTATAAAGAGAGGCAGAAGTTCAGAATTGGACCAAACTGTCTTTATGTCTGTTTATACATAAAAGTACCTCCAATCATTGCTTGTATCATCTCCAGATCTAAACCTTGCAAAATATCTGGAAATCATGCTTCAGTGACTCCTCATTAAGAGTTTTATTGTCTCATCCATCCAACTGATTTAGGCACTATTTTTATTATATACCTCATACAAAAAGCTGATTGGAATGTGACCAATTAGATTGGTCACTATTGTTACTATTTAAGATTTCCTTCAGAAGAGCCTTAGAAGCCCACATCTGAATTGTTGGCTCATCACATACTGGCCTGAGAAGCAGAACTGAGTGTTGCAATGGCTTCATCTCATGGAGCCAGGATTTCACCTTCAGACTGCCAATGTTGTTCCCCAAGGATGCCTGACAGTCTTCCAGTCTTTGGAAATCATCTCAATCATGAAACCATTGCAGCCTGTTTTCCGAGTTCAACCCTGAATATGGCTTTGCTAGTCTAAGAAAGCCAGTCAGCTTTCTCCAGAGCAGAGGAACAAAAGAGAGCAGCGGAAAGCAGGGAGAGACAGTGGCCTCACTAGCTGCTTTAGAAATAAGAGCAGATGTGACTTCCAGAGCTTATCTTTTCCTCTGAAAACATTGAGGTCAACAGCATTTAAAATTAAGGACACTGGGTCAACTGTCTTTATTGGGAGAGTGGATGTTTACTTAATGACACACAACAAGAGGTCAGTTTTCATCAGTGGTTCAGACTTGATGAGCCTAACAATTTGTAGGGTTAAAACCATGCATGACAATAATAGAAAAGTATTCTGGTTAGACTTGTAAAATACTTTGTCAGTCAAGCCTCCTGCCATCTTCCTGTTAAAAGCTATGATGTATGTTAGGAACAAAAAAGGCACAGCTGGAAAAGTGGCAGTGACATTAATGGATGCTCATTCTCCTCTTTGTCTTAGGGATGTGGCAGTCCTCTTCCCTGCACTGTCACTGTTTCATAGACAGAATAAGGAGCTTTAGAGAGCAGGCAGTATATTGGGCAGCCGTCATTGAAAATTTATGTGTTGGCAATATAAGGGACCATGTGTATCTTTAAAAACCCCATGAGAATGAGAACCCACCATGAGTGTAGAGAAAAGTTTTGACATGGCAGTCAGTGTGGGCTAAAGCCTCACACTGTCCAACAGCACATTTTACAGACCTATGAACCTTTAATGTTTTCCAACTAATCAGCTCAAAAAGATCTGCCAGCAGAAAACACTGGGAGAACAAACTTTTATTGACTGGATAAATACTTACATTGGAGGTATTGTCAGGATATTCCAAAAGCAGTAACAAAATTGCTAGAAACATGAAGGAGACAGGGACTCTTCCCAATGGAGTCACTGATGAAAGACCACCCCATATTTCTGGAAGATGTTCGTATATGTAAAATATGTGTGCATATTTTATATTTGAGATTTATAAACTTTTGGAATTCTTCAGAATACATGGAGGTAGTTGCAGACATATGCCTGTCTGATGATTTTGTATACTCTAGTTTGGCAGACTTTCTCTTTCCAAACTACCTCTCACAAATGGCATCTCCCAGGAGGATGTGCAGCCAGTGGAGTGCATGCACACACCGAGTAACCAGGGCAACGTGTTTTCATGAGGACACCTGATCTTCCTGGTAGCTTGTGAGTTCCTGTTCAGCTAGCAGCTTGCAGGGAGCATATGATCAGTATGAGGCTGGATTCGTGAACTCCACAAGTTTGAAGCTTTCTTGGGAAGACAGTGTATACCTGGTGTATTTAACTAGTGTTTAATGCAACTTCATGTCCTACTGAATGAATGGACCGAAAGTGCTATGAGACTCAGCTGACTTTTTTTTTTTTTTTTTTTTTTTTTTTTTGTCTTTTTCCTTTTTATTGGTACCAGGGATCGAACCCACGACTGCCTGCTTGCAAGGCAGGTGCTTATGCCACTGAGCTAAATCCCCAACCCCCTAAACTGACAATTTTATCTATACTATTGTTAGTATAAAAATTCTGTTTTAAAATACTATTTTGATTTTTACAAAGGAGGAACTTTGGAGCCTGGTATGTTTTATTAAGTGGTACACATGATTTGGTATTGGAGGACCTGTAGTGTGAGCCAGAAAATCTGAATTCTAGTCCCATTTTCCCTGCTGGTCTGCTGGGAGACCTCAGAGAGGCCACTCTTCTTTAATGTCACTTTCCACATTTGTGTGTGTGTGTGTGTGTGTGTGTGTATGTGTGTGTGAAATACTTCCTTTTGTACCAATCATATAAGATCTCTGTGAGTATAAAACAAAGTTCAATGCTTTACAAAAAGAAAGTATCATTATTAACTAAATGCTTACCTTGTGCTAACATTAACACCTGAGCTTAGCTTTTAAATGCTTTTCATTTATGCCATGGGTTGTATTTTGTTCACAGCCATCTGATGACTCCTGAAAGGGAACTTCATGTAATGACTTTATGAAAATAACACCCTGCATCTGTAAGGCTAGGTTGTGTGTGCCACCTCACTTGATTATCACAACTGTGATATTTAGAGGGAAATGATGATCTCTATTTCATACATTAAGAAACCTGGGCTCAGAAGGATGAAGTCTGAGGTGGAGGAGCTGGGCCACACCTGGTGTTACTCACACTTACAAGTCATGTCTTTCCCCAAACAGCTTTACCACCAATACTTCTCCAAGATTCAGGAAGGAAATGCAGCTCTGAAAGAATAGTGTGCAAAGCAATATACTGTACGGCAGCAAGTCTATATAGCAGAAATACTCTTCTGTTTACCGTCTTAGAGATCCTTCTGAAATAATTTCAGTAAGGATAAATCTTAGGAACAAAATGAAAACATTTTAAATACTCAAGTACTGTTTTAAAAATTCACTTTCTCTTAAATAACGGCATTTCATAGCATTATCATTTTTCCTAGCAAGTGTGCTTCACAAATCATATTTCTGAAGGGTGTTCATTGTTGCCCTTTCTTTCTTCCAGCAACAGATCGACTCCTAGCAACCACGATCGGATACAGCGTCTGCGGCAAGAATTTCAACAAGCAAAGCAGGATGAAGATGTTGAAGATCGGAGACGGACCTACAGCTTTGAGCAGCCCTGGGTAAGTTCGGTCTTTAGGTCTTTACCGCAGTGAATAGTCCTGCGTCTTCCCTGCAGTCGAGGTCCCTGAGCTATGACCTCAGTCTTTTATGAAATGAGACACGACGGAGCCAGATTCCCTTGACCTTTAACATATTGACCTTTTCCTCATTTCCGTCTGAGTTTCGTCATTGCTAATTTCATTTTATGTCTTGTTCCACCATCTGTCCATTGCATAATAGGTCTAATTAGCTGTGGAACAAGACATAGCAAACGTATTCTTGTTCTCTACTATGCATTTTTATTAAGTTTAGTAAATATTTCTCTGTGGATATATTTTTCTCAGAATCAGAGCCATAGTAAGTTCAACACATAGCTGTTTATTTCTAGTAGGTACAGAGTCATTGTTTAGGATTCTTGATTTGTGTGTGTGTTGTGCTATAGATTAAATAGAGGACTTTTGCCCTAAGCTACATCCCAAGTCCTTTTTAATATTTTTATTTTGAGAGAGGGTCTTGTTAAATTGCTAAATTGCTGGCACTGGACTCCAACTTGTGACCCTCTTGCCTCAGCCTCCCAGGGTACTAGGATTCCAGGGATTACACCACACCTGGTTTAGAAATTTTTGATTCTTCATTCTCCCTCATTCCCTAGGATATTTGTTAAATTCCTGCCATTCGTTTGCATAATTATTTTTACTCCCTCCTCCACACAATTACAGAGTAATCTTTCTGGAACAAAACTTGGATTGGTTCTCTCAATGCCAGACCTATGTCTGCATCTCAGGTTTCACCCTGAATAATGGCACTTCTGGGAATGGAAGGTTAGGAACAGATTTGGGAGTTAGAGATGATAGGGATTTTGAAGAATAAGGATTTATTTGGGAAATCTGAGAGTGGGTCTTTTGGGCTGAGTAATGCTGGAGAATCTAGCCTTGAATATGAGAAAGTTCAGTCGTTATGGGAATGTGACCATAACGAGTGAGGACCAGGAATAATAACAACAAATCTGTAGTTTAACCTATACTGAAGGCTGGCGAGACTGGACAGGTGGTCTGAAGCCCAGTGAGAATGTGGTAAGGCCTGCTTCATCTGACAGCCCACAAAGGGTTTTCCTGCTAAATTAGGAGTAGGCAAAGAAATGTCAAAGTTCTAGGGGTTATCAAGCCCACAAGGTTGAACTCAAAAGCATTTTCTGGCTTCTAGGATCTTGAAGGCAGTGAAGTTCTGGATAAGGTTGAGATCTAAAAGGTATCATCTCTGCTTACACACTACAGGAACAGAGGACAAATTGCTGAGTTCAGTTTAGTCAAAGTGTTAGGAATATCATTATTTCCATGAGATTTTTGAGAGGAGAGGGGCCAAAGGAAGAATGGTGTTAGAAAAGACTTGAAATTAGGTGGCCCAGTTTTGCGGGGGAAGGCTAAACTGCTCAGCGGAAGAAGGACCAAAAAGTCGGTTATGTTGAGAGAAGTGGTGATTAAAGGTGGAGAGGCAGTAGGAGCCTTCAATGCTGGAGTGAAAGTTAGGAGAAAATGGGACCAGGACCAGAGCGCCGGTTCACTGGTCAAGTGGCCTGGCTTCGCGGGCTTCAGTTTTTTTATTTTTAAAGCAAGAAAATTAGACAAGATGACTGTCAGTTACTTACTATGCATTGTGACAACATGAACATTAGGGAGAAGGCTGAGTGTGAAAAGCAGATGCAAGCAGAGCTCCTCTGGTTGGATGTCAGCAACTCTGTGGATCTACATGCTGATGGCTGTGGATCTGTCTCAAAGTATAGCCCACAGCCAGGTCCCAGATCACGTGGACACTTGCTGTCCACACATGTTCCCAGCCCTGCTTCAGGCCCGCCAGTCTGGGACCTCTGTAGATGAGCCAAGGAATCTGTGCCTTAATGTGCTCTCCAAAGTGGAGACAGGTCAGCTTTGAAAAGCACTGTTCTAGAGTCTGATGGTACCTGAGATCCTTTCTGGTCCTAATACCCAAAACCCCTAATGCATTATGTAAAAGAAGGACTCTTTAAAGGTCTCTGATTCAGGGATTTAAGGATTGCATTGGAGTTGAGGAAGAGTCATTGGGGGATTCGAGAAGAAATACAGTGGAGAAGCTGTGCCAGGGAAAGAGTGCCCCCTAATTTAGGAAAGGAACTGGCCAGGTGGGGCTGGCTTCCAGGAGTAGAAACACCTCACAGAATCCATCCTTGGCATGGCTTTGGGAAATTATAAAACAAGTCCAGCAGGTCCAACATCTAGGAGAATTTACCCTCATCTTCTACAGCAATACTGTTATTAATGATGTTTTCCTAAAGTATTTACTTTTCTAGCTGATCTCAAGTAAATGGAGTCATTTCCATGTAGCAACAGGACAGAACTACGATCATATTATTTGATATAATCGGTTCCATCTATCCCCACCAGGTTCATTATAGCAAGGTCTTTCATGATACTGGGTAAATATATTCTTAGCTATAAAATACGCACAAAGAGGCTGGAAAAGAGTGAGGAACACAGTGTCAGTCTGCAGGTAGAAGTAGCAAGTGCAGGTGGAAATGAGTTTCTCTGTGTCTCTGTCTGTCTGTCTCTGTCTTTTTCTCTCTCTGTCACACACACTCATTTCCATTTCCAGCCTAGCAGTGGTCTTACCATTCCCCACACCCTACCATTAGGAGGAGTCTTGGGCCATTTTACTTTCTTTGCTAAAATGGCTGTCAAGCCAGCATCTTGGCAACATTTATTCTTTAATTACTTAATTCATCAAACTTACTGAGTGCTTGCTGTGTTCCAGTGTTGTTCTGGCGAACAGAGCTGGGACGATTGTCCTGAGAACTCTGCGGTCTTGCTGCTGCAAAACAAAAGGACACCTTGGACAATATAGAAGGATGTGATAGGGTAGGCAGGGGGCCAGGGCACCAAGAGGAGAGAGGCTATAATGAGTTTTGGGGGGACAGGAAGAGCTTTAAGGAACTCCTCTCCAAAGCCAGAATACACAAATTTGAGAAACATGTCCTTGGGAACTGAGGTTTATAAATTAGTTTCTGATTGCCCACATTATTATCTATGTGAGAATTCCAAATTTGATGCTAAGTGAGCATTTCTTGCTTCTTAGCTCTAGAATTTGTTATTGAGAAAAATAAAAAAAAAATGATTGGAAACCTATTTCAGGGCTTTTTATAAGATTTTTAATATAAGGACAATGAAGATACTGACATTTCTATGTTACTTTTCTACAAGAACAGTCACACGAGGGAGTGTGTTTGAGAGTCTTGTATACTTGGAAATTCAACAACTGCAAGTCTTGGGTCAAATTATTGCGTATCAAAATTGCCACTGCACCTTTAGACAGAGTAGCTGTATTATTGTTTCTTGTAGTGAACGAGCAGGGAATTATTTGGGTGACAGGCTGATTGCCTAAGAAATGGAATAATTTCCTAAATTGTGGGTCAGAAGTTGACCTTTTTTGTTGTTGTTCATTTTCAAACAATTGTGAGCTTGCTGTGGACTCTCACTCTACTGATCATGTAAATGAACTTAAAAGAGCTGCAATTTTATTTTCTGTATTAATTTTCATACCAATTCTGATCATCACCTTAGTAAAAGTTGCTCAGCTATTCACTTGGGCTGTGTTCTTACGAATCCATTTTACAAAATGAGCTTTGCGTCTCTTGGAATCATTCCTGTCTTCCCATATGCGGGCTGACCTTGCAAGGTCATGGTGTTTGGAAAGGAGGAGAGGGTGATCTCACTCACTGGGATGGTTTGTAATCATTTTAGTGCTGAGGAGCCATAGACTCATCTCCAAGCTGTGTGCATAGCAGAGACAGTATTAGAGGGACTTAACGCTTGTTAGAAATACCCACATGCAAAGTGCAGCCAGATGTGTCAGAGAGAAAAATATCCAAGGCAATGACTTTATATACAGAGTGGCATGCAGCAGAAAAGTCACCCAGGTAGCCCTTTCAGTTCATCTATTTCGAGCATGTTCTCTCGGACATCTGCCGTACAAGGTGCACCTGTTCATGGGCCTTTGTGCAAAGTAATTTGGGGGCCTGAGGGAACTGATTTGTGGCACAAAAGGTCTTTAGATGAGCAGAGGCCCAGAAAACTTCCTTAGCACCCTAATTGGAGTGAATTCTCTCCCAAGTTGAGGAAGAGAATAAGAAAAAGCAACTTCTTCCTCTCGTAGTGCCAGGTGCCAGCTAAATAGAGCAGCAAGGTGCTTGCAGTCTTTGTTAAGATAATGGAACAGTAGCTGAAGTTGGGGTTATTTTCACTGAACTCAGATATGGACAAGACTCAGTGTTGCTTTTAAGAGAATTAAATTGCAGGCTGCACACATAAGTACAGTATGCTGTTAAAACTTTGCGGATACCTGAGTGTCACTCACAAGGAGAGTTGTGGGCTGAGACAATTGATAGATGGGATAATGGAGCCTTTAATAGCTGTATTGCTAAATCCTTTCCATCCCAGGTCAGAAGGGACTGAAGGTAGTTTAGTCCTTCAGGTAGAAAATTGACACTCCACAGTGTGAATATCCTCTTGTCCCCAACCAAGCATGCACTCTCCCTACATAGCTGTCTTTGAACAACAAAATGTGCCCTGCACTCCATTCTCCTGTCATCTCCTTCTTAGCCTTTTAGGGGTTTGCCTGTTTAATTGGTGAGCCACTCTGCAGCCCCACATTGCCACTCATGTGCCTGGGGAATTTGAGAAAATTGTGGTCTTTTTGCTTTCATCCTTTCTAAGACTTGAAAGATATCTCTCTCATTTCTTCATGACGGCTTCCATGCCTAGGCTAAAAAATTCTCCTTGTTCAGAGAGCCCCGCTATGCAGCCCCAGTTCAGGCTGGGTGGAAGTCCCCTTCCCTCAGAAGCAGACCTGGAGAGGGCAGTTCTCACAGAAGAGGCAGAGGCACTTTCCCCCATGTGCTCAGCCTCTGCCCTGCTGCATAGTAGGGCCATTTCTTAACCCCGTGACCAAACTCCCCCTGCCTCCGGCTGGTTCTGTGGGACAGCCCTTATACTTTCGGCCCACCTGTTGCTTAAGGTGGAAAAATAAAAGTGACCCAAGTACTGGTGGGAAAAATGAGAAGACGATGCTGTGTTAAAACCAGAGCATGCATTTATAAAAATCTTTATGAGGAAAATGGTTCTGCAGATTTTTTTTCAGCCATTCCTGGGATCCTTAGTAGAAATGAAGCTTTTAGCTATTCAGAACTCTAAAAGAGGTCACAGTTAATGTGATGAGGTCGAGGACTGGGAAGCCAGGACATATACAAGTTAAATTTGCTTTGATTAAAAGTTGTAAGTCAGTGACTGTAGAAAATAATTGTTGCCAGGTCCTAGGACTCTGGCAAGCTCAGGCAGAAGGATGGCGAGTTCGGGCCCAGCCTAGGCAACTTAGTAAGTCAGTAAATTCGGGGTCTCAAAATAAGTAAAAAAGGACTTATGATGTAGCCTAGTGCAAGGGGAAAAGTAGGGATGGGAAAGGGGAAGGAAAGAAGGAAGAGGAAAATAATACCAATATTATCAAGGACCACTTTTTCAGCAGAACAGTTTATACCCTTTACATGACTGAGTGGCATGAGAACTATTTCTACCACCTACCAAATTTTTAAATTGTCGTTTTTATCAATATAGCATTCCATATTAGGGTTTCATTTTAATTGCTAAGCAGATTGTAAATCTTAAAGTAACATGTTGTTTTTGTTACTATTTTCATCAGTAACATCATCCTCAGCATTAGGTTTTCATCCAAAGCCCAAAAAAAGTTTTGTATTTTTTTTGTTTTGTTTTCTGTATATGCTCTTGGACATATGTGATAATGTGAAGATTTTTGTGATTCTTAATTTAGGTAGGAAATCTGTTCAAAATGATCACTTGTAAGAAGACTTACGTGTGTATGTGTGTGTGCATACTCATGCTTACAATGTGTCCGTGTAAAGAAAAACAATTGTGTATTTTTAAGTTATTGGATATTTTATGTAAATGTTAATAACCCAGTAGCGATTTCATTATGACAGCACACTTTTTTGGTATTAATCCTTATAGCATTACCTAGTTTTAAATAGCACTATAATTTTGTACTTTGTATACTTTTATTCATTAGTCCACTAACTGTAATGATTTTGTTTGTATTTTTATTTTTTGTATTTTCTCTTTTTATTTTGGGAAAAGACATGAGCAATCATAATTAATAGATAAAATGACTTAATTCAGTAAAATGCTATGTTGTAGCTATCCTTCTATTTTGCTTTACACTAAGTGGTACCAAAAATGGATACTTTCTCGACTTTTGAATCATGTCATTTTATAATCATGATAAAGTCAAGTATTTTGCAGTTCATTTACAAAAGCAACATGTGTGTTTTTTACTTGTGCTTTTAAGCGTAAGCCACAAAGAGACTCCAGTGTACTTTGTAGTCATCATGGGTTTATCTCCATCTTACGGCTTCTGTTGTTATTCTAGCCTTGGCATCCTTGGCTATTTTTTTACTTATAAGGTCATTTCTTGTGACCGATCTCATCACAAACAAGGCCCAGTTATTTGTAAATTCCGCTGTTAAAAGTGAGCTGCACCTCCCTGTCTGAGAATCCTATGCTCATCCCAACTATGTCTCCGTGTGTATTTCCTTGTATGGCTGTGACTCCTCATCCTAGCTGCTCGTGGGATTGTTTGAAATCAGTGCTTCCTTGGGAAGTTTCAAGCTTTTTCCTCTATTTTTGTTTTAAACTTAGATACATGATTCTGTTTCTGTCACAGGAACTGCAACCTTAGTAATGAGAAGGCAGGATTGTCGGTTGTAAAAGTGGCCCCTTAACTTACATATTTATGCAGTCTTTATTGAAATTGTGAATGAGAAAGATTACTTCGTATTCAGCTCGTGTAAAACTTGCTAAAAATGATCTTTCTGAGTGGTTGCTATAGAATGGTCATGAGTGTGCTTGTCTTTAAAATATATGGCCCGTTAGAGTTTCTTCTGTTCTCTCTACTAACCTGCCCTTTTTCGTGCTCTGGAGAGAGAGCAACAGGAGCAAAATTTAATGGGGGGCTGATGTTTGTGTTTCGTCAGAGCAAGCATGAGAGTATGAACCATGTCAGTTCGCTGACCAAACTCACTCATTCCTCTAAGTTTATGGGCCTGTAGCCTGATAATTCCGTTCCTGGAGCTCATCAAGACGCAAATTGATTGCCTACAGCTGATAAACTTTGCACAAAACAGTGTCAGATAACTGAAGTTGAGAAAAAAAAAACACCTCTTCAACGCTTTTCTCCTATGTCAGAATCAGATTTTCAGGCTGTTGGGAGAAACAACTTAAAAATACACCCGAAATTTCCACAAGACCTTGCATTTTCTTTTCACATCTCCACAAGCAGTGTGTCACCAAACAGCATGAACTTAAAAAGCTGGTTACTGAATCCTGCTGCAGAATGCCAGGGCCTCCCAGACTGCTTGACACATGGAGATAGCTGATGCTGAGAGAAGAGGAAGGGAAAACGGGTTCTTGTAGAGGGCGGATAGAAATCATGTAGTGTGTCCTTGCTCTCTGGCTTCCCGTGACTCATCCAAGCCACACAGCAGGTCGGCAGCTTGCTTAGCCAGCCTCATCTCCCATAATGGGAGGAATGTCTGTCTGCTTTGATGGACTTGCTGAAGAATTGCTTGATGCTTTGTTTGCACAAGCAGAAACTCACTTGGCAGAGTGTCCTTCTCCTGAAAGGCACCACGGGTATGTTATTTGAACAGTGTTTTGAGTGGGTCTCTGAACATACATTTGCCCCGGTGAGTGTGGTTATAAACATCTACTAGGAGAGGCGGGGGCATTGTAAAGCCTAATCTCTTCACATGTTATTTTTGTATAGGGATATTTTTAATATGCTCACGGCCCATGCCCATATGCTGGGAAATTCCGTTCCTGGATATTGCCTCATTATTGCTTACCAGTAAATAAGAGAGTGCTGGTCTGGCAGAAAGAGAACCCTGAGTACTGCTGGATTTCTGTGCAGACCAAAGCCGACCGCAGCCGCCATTCTTTAGGTAGCAGGAGCCTGTGTTACCTCACCCTTCTCCCCTCTCCAAAGGAACTCAAGAAGATGATGGGTAAATGAGAGTCTGCCACTGGCTTTCAGCCCTAAAGGAAAATCAGTGCCATGGTTTTAAGTGACATTCTTCACATAGAATGTGCGTGTTGCACCACATCATTCAACACTTAGAGGCAGGCAGAGGTTCCTGGGTGTCAAAAAGGATGTGTGAGGAGCAACAAGGTGGTGCCATACCCTTGCTGTGTGCTACATGAGCTTACAGGCCTCCTGATCTGTGCTGAGCAGAGGCATTTCAAAAGGCCTCATTTAGCAGATGAGCTGACATGGCTGGGAGTAATAGAGGCACCACAGGATCTGGGCCCACGTGGCACACTGTTCTGTACATGCTGAGGCCCAATTCTGGTGGGCAGTCCCATCCACCAGTGGCCTGGCTGGATAAAGTGGCCAGAAGAATTTAAAAGTTCTCGCTAGGCTATGAGCAACCTAGATAATTCCCCTAGCCCCCTGGTCACCAGGCAAATAGCTGTTTGCTTGTGGGTTCATTCTTTGGGAGTTTGTTTACCATCCTTGCATTGAGGAAGACCTGTCCCTGGCTGAGAATGTCTGGTTTAAAGTAACCATGGTTAAATTTCAAACTTATCTGGCCTAAAAAAGAAGAGGGGTCAGCAATACTGTGGTACGTTGTTTGAAATGTTTGGCTCTCCAGAGAGTCGTGAGCACAGACCACTTTCACGTGTGGATCTGTGGCTTTTTCACTTTTGCTCATTACAGTCACACGTTATATATGCGTGTGTGTACCTGTGTGTGTATACTGGCTTTACCTGCTTCTAATGTTCCCTGGAGTCTGTCTCCTTATGTCTGTATGAAGGTTATAAACTGCTGTTTCATGTCCGTATTTCTGAAACCTCATTAAGACTCTAGGCTTGGCCTCTCCAATTTAAACCGCCTGCCAAGTCTCAGTCACAATTTACAATGGAGTGTCTGGGGCTCAGAAGAGCCATGATATGCTTCTTTTCTCTAAGAAATTTGATTTGCGGGGGCAGATTTCACAGAAGTGTGAAATGCTTCTAAAGCAACTTACAAGAATGCAACATGGGCTGGGAAGTAGCTGAGTGGTGGAGCACTTGTGGGTGCAGAGAGGCTCTGGGTAGGTGGTGTGTGGGTCTCATGACCAAGCCGTCGAATGGTGCTTCGAAAAGCCCTGCCTGCTAACAGCTGCACGTCTCTCCCACAGCCCGGCTCCCGGCCAGCAGTGCAGAGCGGCAGGCACTCTGTGTCCGTGGAGGTGCAAGTCCAGAGGCAACGGCAGGAGGAGCGCGAGAGCTTCCAGCAGGCCCAGCGCCAGTACAGCTCGCTGCCTCGGTAGGTCATTCCCCTGCCCCAGGCCTGAGATCCGTTCCCTTCCAGAGGCACCAGCTTCTGCAGCTTGCACCCGACAGTGACTGGAGGCTGCTAGCTGGTGGAGGGCGATTCTTCTATGCAGGAAGACCAGAAAGACAGGTGCTTCCCAGGATGCCAGCATCTCTGCCCCACAGCTCCCTTACCCAACGTGAAGTAACTCAAAATGAACACCGGGTTTGGGGGCAGATCTGTCTTCTAGTATGGGTTCTGGTTTCCATGTAGCTATGAAAAAACTTTGCTCATCTGAGAAGCAGGGAGAAAAGTTCTTTTGTTCTGCCCCTGGGGTGACTAGGATGACTGATATTTTATTCATCTAGAGCTCTGTAAAAAGAGAGATGCTTCTGTGGGATCAGTGATGGTAAACCACACTATCACTGTCCTGCCATTTGTGTAGTGGCTCTTGTGGGACATCAGAGGTATCAGCGCATTAGCTAACAACCAGGCAGAACAGGCTTGTCTGACAAGCATCCGGCAGAGGCACCTCTGCTCAGTGTGCTCCATTAGAGGACCAGGACCCTCTCATTGGCCTGGGCTCCAGAACACTGAGCTAACAGCCATCCTTCCACCCAAGTGTTTCTTCTAGGCAACACATAGTAAAAAGCAAGAGTTGAAAAACATTCAGTTTTGCTGACTTCCCCAAACAAGTCACTCCTATAGTCAGAATATTCCAGATGTCACTTGTTCTATTTCAAAACCAGGCGACAATGACATTTTGAGTGTCAGAAGATCCATTTGCCTTACTGATGTCAGCTAGGCTCTTGCATTTGAAGGAAACAGTTTCTGGGGGAGGCAGATGCTTGTCTGTGTATACTTAAGTGGCCCCAGTAAGAATGATCCTGATTCAATTTCTTGTAAAGGTGAATCCCTTCAAGTGTTAGATCATTACTATGACAGCCATGAGGGGCATCACACTGGCAGGGGTCAACTGAAAGAACATAATATGATGTGAATGAAAATCTCTACTAGGATGACTGCCATCCACTGTGATGATTTGTTCACTCAGTTGTTAATTTTTAATTAGTAAGTTGGTACCTCTTGCCTTTGGATAGGAGGACTACCCACTAGCAGTTCTGTAGCCCCTCTAGTTGGGAGTCTTTGAAGGACAGTCATTGTTTTGCAAGGAAACAGCTCAGAGAAATGAAGTACCTTCCTGCAAGGCCACCCAGGAAGTCCTTTAGCCAGAGCTCAGATCCACAGCTGCCCATGCCCTCAATCATTATTTCAGAAGTTTCATTGCTATTTTTATTCCCAATGTGAGGTGTTTGGGGGTATAAAGTTCTCCTGGGCTCTGTGCTGCCCCTAGAGCAATGATGATGAACCTTCTAGAGACCAGTTCCAGAACTGCAACCCCAAACCCACTTGTTTTAATCACAAGTGCCAACGTTGTAATTAAACCCAAATGCTTGTCTTGTGGGGGTGACATGGCTTACATGCTGATGGAGAGGGCACTGCGTGCTGTGGTGGCATACATGTCATAGCTTCGCCAACACTGCCCGAGAGTTTGGAAGGAAACACTGTGTGACTCAAGCCAGTGGCTCAAATGCTAACCACCCAGCCTGCTTGGCTTGGGTCCCCAGAGAATGGTGAGCTTGATGACAGACTAGGGTGGCCTGAACTCCCCAGCCACAGGGTGGCTGTGGCACTGTGTGGCTCCCGTGGACGGAGTCAAAGGGGCTCTCTTGGTTTTGTCAGCAAAGTGTTGCCTTCGTATATTTCCTTGGGGAGTATTCAATGAGAAATTAAGGGAGATGCAGACGGCTAAGGAAAGGGGGAAGGAGAGAAGGTAGTGGGGCAAACCTGGCAGGCAGCAGCCAGGTGGGAGGAGAGAAGTGGGCTCCCTGTCGGGGAAAGGGGGAGAAGGTCCACACAGGGGATTTCCTGGGCTTTCTACTGGTCGCTGTCCAGAGTAGCTCATACATTGCAAACTGAGCCTCTCCCGTTAGTCTCCTCCCCTTCTTCACTTGTTTTTTAAAAAGTAATTATAGTACTATTAAAAATAGATACATAGTAACTATGTCACATTTAAAGTGTACAAAGTGACATTTAATACAAAGTGCAATGATCAGATCAAAGTAATTGGCCTGTTACCTCCAACATGTATGATTTCTTTGTGTTTAGAACATTCAGACCGTTCTTATTAGCTATGCTGAAATGTCCAGTACTGGGTGTCCTCCAGTTACTCTGTCCTGCCCCCTCTCCCCAAAAGCACCTCCTCTTCTCCGTGCCTCCCTCCGCCCCACTCCTCTGAAGCCCAGTGCACACTGACAAGCAGAGGGTTGTGCTACAACTGCTAGTACTACTGCAGGGGATTCTTAAGCGCCTCCCACACACAAAAAACTAAACTTTCCCCCGGGATAATTGTAGCTCCCTATTTTTAGTCATTTGAATCCATTTAGATAAGAGCAAAGCAGACCTCCCAGAATAGAGTTATGTAAGTTTTGGCAAGAGAGGCTGGCAGCCTCCTGCATCACATTCTTCTGCTCTTTCAGAGAGTGACTTCTCAGGGGTGAGGATCCTGGTCCGCACTGTAGGGAAGTCAGGGGGGAGCCCTGGCCAGCTGGGTGCCACCGCTTGTACCAGCTTGTGCTTGCGCCATCTGAGGGAGAGCAGGAGCTGAACCAGACTGTCAGGGGCCTCGCAGCAGTCTACTGAGTCGGAGTCAGCTCCAAGTTTCTGGCATGTGCTGTTCTTCAGAGATGCCTGACCTCTGCTTTTCAGAGGTTGACAATTAGCTGAGTTTTGTCTAAACAAGTCAGTATGGCATTTGCAACCAAAAAGATTTCACACACACACACATACACACACATGGACGCACGCACACACATGCACGTTTATTTACAAAGCGAAGCGTAAAATAAAACAAATGGCCAGGCTTTGTATCATTGCATTAGATAAGGTGGTTTGAATTAGAGGACTGTGGATAAGCCAGGCAAGTTTGTAAATTGGAACTGTAATTAAGGAGCCCTTGGCAGAATGCAAGTCACATTTTAAATGTCAATGAGAAACACTACCCAGGTGGAAGCGCTAGCTGGGGAGAAGAGGGAACCCAAGTGGCCCCCCACTCACTCTCCATCAGGGAAGGATGTTTTCATTTTTCATTTCTAAATGAGTCCCTTTCCTCAGTACCCAAAGGCAGCTCTGAAACTGAACAGAAGCATAGTTACTGCCAGAAAGGCTCCAGCTCCTCACGATCTGTTTCTCCACGCTTTCGTTTCCTCCTCCATCTTCTCTGCCTTGCTTGTGTGTATCGGTCCTTTAGCGTCCTGCTTTACCTGCTCCTCTAGCTGTCCCTGCCAGTGGCTTGGCCTCCTCACCGGGCCTGGGTTCCATCTCAGTTTACTTGTGAGACTTAAGCCTTGGTCATCTCTTCTTCCTTCTCTGTCCCCTGCCACAGGAACAGAATCCTGTACTTAGGTCTTGGTTCCTCCATTAAAGGCCTGCAGGCCTTTCGAAAGTTGATATCATCACATGGGTTGATTTCCAAGCCTCGTGTGTGTGCCAAGCAGTTTGAGAAATTTTCAGTGGGCTAATTGCAGGACCAAGCAACCTTGATGTGTGTTATATAAATCCAAGGAAAGCAGAACGCTGCGCTGGGGCCTTTGACGGAGGCACCCTGGGAAAGCAGGAAGAAGACGAGTCTCTGAGGACAAGCTTTTCCCACCTTCATGGAGGTGTTTGAGGGTCAGCCTCCCGCAGTGCAGCCTGGCTACTCTCTGGTGTCCAGCTCAGCTCCATGAGCTCCCTCCAACACTTCGAATCATGGAAGAGAAAGTTCACCTTTCTCCTTAGGTTACTTCCTCATTACAGATGTTCCCATCCCCACTCTAGAGCCTAATCTTTGCAGGCAAAGCTACTGTCTTCAAACTGTTCCTCCAGTACCTGGTCAGCAGTCAGGCAAAATGTGCGGGGCATTTTTCTAAGCATTTTATAAGTTATATTTCATTTGTTTTTCATCACAGCCTTGTAAGATCAGATATTATACATATTTCACGGCATATATAACTTCCCCAGGGTCACACAGCTGTTGAGTGGCAGTTTCAGAGCTGAATCTGCGTCTGTCTGTGCCCAAGCCCTTCTCCCCACAGGTCTCAGGGACTGGGTTTCTAGTGTAGGCAATTCTTGGCTGCTTTCTTTTCTTGATCTGTACTACTGGCTTATTTCTCATCTTCTCCTTAATCAAGAGATTGCTGACACCAATAGCTTCCTCACCTGGAAAGTGTGGGCTGTGTGTGTGTGTGTGTGTGTGTGTGTGTGTGCGCGCGCGCGCGGTTGCATTTGATTTTATTTCAAACCTCAGGGCAGCCTACTTCCTTCTCTTTATAAAGAAAATTTTAGCTCCAAGAAATTCTTTCTCCTGCATCATCATATTTCCATCCTAACCTTAGTGAATTCTTAGTGTATTTAAATGTAGGCTCTATCTTCCCAAATGATCCAGAATTCAGCTCACGATGCGCATCCCGCCATAACATGGTGGTGGGAACCTCACAGATTTGGGAAGAAGAGACTTTGTGGGTCTCGGTAGGCCAGGGATAAAAAAGAGGTGAAATTCCTGCAGCCAGTTTCTCATTATTTTTAAATTGATAACTAACTCATAAAGGAATCCACCCCCTCCTTGTTACTGTGATATCAGTAACAAGTTCGTTGTTTTAATTAAAGTTTCATGATTAATGTCAAATCCCTGGTCTCGTGCTGACACTTTCTATCATTCATGTCTCTGGGCAGATTAATTTAGGACTTTTTAAGTGGAGATAATCAGTGCTTTAGGCAAATAAACTATTCCATCAAATTTGAGCATTCTTGCTCAGGCTGATACTACAAATGTCTGACTCCTAACTAAAGGAGAGTAAGATAAATACACTATTGTCTGCACAGCTGATCATAGTTAGTTCCCCCAGTGGTGCTGGGCATGAAGGTCACTTTCTACTTTGAAAGACTCACTGACAACATTTGAGGGCATATGGAAAATGGGCAGATTCTATCCCAAACCATATTAGTGGCACTTCAGAATGTTCAAAATGCAAACTGCTCTGTGCCTGTGGGAATCCCAGTGGCTTCCCACACCTGGTTTTTCTCCCACAGCCAGGAGCCTGTTTGAATATCCAGCCGTGTTGTGTACATTGACACAAGAGGCTGAGCAGTACATCCTGTCGTCAGATGATTTTCTTATTGATAAATGGAGCAATATATTTTGCTTTATTACTCAATCGTCTCTTTCACCTCTTCCATTTTCAAGGCAGAAAAATTAGGGGATGTCTTCCTTCCTTGCACAAAATTGTGTTCCTTTATCATAGCCAATCTTATTGTAAATTCATAAAAGCATCTAGAGACTTGATAGTAAATTAAAGATGTTTCAAAACAATAATGTTTCTTGAAAATCATGTGTAGTTTTATTGCAGAAGTGATAAGAATTTGAAAGTTCTAGATGACTCTGATTCATATCCCTACCCCAGGATGACAGTGGGTGAGTTAAACAGGTTATCCTGGCCTTGGTGACAGGCAAGTGGGCAGGAAAATACTGCTTACCCTCCAGAGCCAGGCTTTGCAGTCCTGACGAGCAGGTGCTCTGAGTCGACTGCCCGTTGCATTTTTAATCACAAAGGAGTCCAGACGTAAATCTTTCATAACCGAACTCATACTGCAATCCACCACATGTACTTCCTATTAGCAGCATTTCTGGCATTGTGGTGGCAGCTGTGTAAATTATTTGTTTTGCTTGTTTAGAATTGAATTGTAACATTCTAAAGCAAGCAGCGATTACTACTGCAGAAGATGCTGCCAAATCTGATACTTCCACACTGGCCAGTGTGTCAGAATTGCAGGAGAGGTTGCTACTCCCTGCAGAACCAACGGTGCCAAGCCAGACTCGGGAGGAGCAGGGCCCCATTTCTAAGTGGCTGGTGCGCCTGCTTCTCTCTCCTGCTCAGCATCCGTAGAATTGCCCGAGACAGTGAGCTTGTGAGGGCAGCTGCCGTGGGATTCTCCAGCACAGTGGCAGAGGCGAGGTTAGAATGCAGCCCTGCTTACTGAGACATAAAAATGTGTATTCTGTCTCATCCCTACCCTCTCCTGCTCTCACACTGACCTTTGGCCTTTGCTTTCTAGGCAGAGCAGGAAGAACGCCAGCTCAGTGTCCCAGGACTCCTGGGAGCAGAACTACCCGCCTGGAGAGGGCTTCCAGAGCGCCAAGGAGAATCCCCGGTACTCCAGCTACCAGGGCTCCCGGAATGGCTACCTGGGCGGCCACGGCTTCAACGCCAGGGTCATGCTGGAGACCCAGGAGCTCCTGCGCCAGGAACAGCGGCGGAAAGAACAGCAGATGAAGAAGCAGTCCCCACCCGAGGGCCCCAGCACCTATGACTCATATAAGAAAGTCCAGGACCCCAACTGTCCCCCACCCAAGGGGCCCTTCCGGCAGGATGTGCCCCCGTCCCCCTCTCAGGTCGCCAGGCTAAACAGACTCCAGACTCCTGAGAAGGGGCGGCCCTTCTACTCCTGAGCACGGATGGCGATGCTTCACGTCATGCAATAAAGGACACTTTCCTACGAAGACTTGTATTTTGGGAGTTTTTAAAAAAAAAAAAAAAAAACCTCGATGGTACTGTGGAATATTTCTGTTGTTGGTATCAGTGCCTTTTCGCAATGTAGGCAAAGAAGTAGGCGGCCTTAATGTCTTTGCCACTGCATCTCAAGTGTCTGCTTCGTGGAAGGATCTCACCCTGACAATCATCCCTCCGAGGCGTCCCTACCCTCTGCAGCTCTCTGTGCCCCAGGGTCTGGCCTAGGCGTACAATGGCCATGGCTTTGTTCCTGCAGCCCGCTGACTTGGGGCAAAGCATTAACTTGAAGCCAAGATGTCATTGATCCCTCTTTTCCATCCCTTGTCTCTTACCTCTGAGCAGCATCTCAGTCTCTGGTGGGCAAAAGTGGACAGCGTGCTACAGAACCTGGGGCTTTCTGAAACTTTCCAGCACAGTGCTTTATTTGTAGTCAGTATGAATTTCTAGTTTCTTTCTCAGCTCCTTGTAACAGGAACGCTTTGTCATTCGACTGAAGACACTAAGCCATATTCCAACACTGATTGGTTATTGGGGTCCTTTTGTAACTGCCTTATAACTTCACCAATAAAGTGATGATTCAAGTCTATGTTTATAAATATACTTGTTCAGTCACTTTCTTGATGCGTGTTGAGTCAGCAGAACAGAGGGGACAGGGATATGGGAGTGACCCGGGAGGAGGACCGGGCCTGCCTTGGGCCCTGGGTGCACTGTAGGGAAGGAAGGAGCTGAGAGAGGAATGCTCCCAGGTGGAACTGTGAGCCATACACTCACGCAGTATTTTAATCCCTTTTTGTTGTGGCCAGAAGGGCAGAGAATGAGAGATACATAAATCAGTCATGTTTGGATTATAAAAATTGATCTCTCTACAGTTTTGAGGTTGGTTGGAATTGATATCTGTCTAGCACATCCACACGCTGGATCCCTGCCTGGTAACATGGTCTTACTAAATAATTCTGCCATGAAACATAAAAAGACAAGGAAAAGCCATTCCACATCACACAGAACATTTTGATGTTCTGAAGCAGGGTTGACAGAAGCTCGCTGTGGGGTCAGTATTTTAATGCGTGTGTGGGTCTCTGGCCCCTGGCCGCCCTCTTTTCCACCCGAAGGTCTGAATGTCCTGTATGGTAAACCATGGCTGGGTTGCTAAAGTGCCTGTGAATCCTGATGTGAAACAGAAGCTTGAGGTGAAAGCTCAGAGTACCGTGTATTAACAAATAAAATAAAACAAAGATATGTATTGTATTGATATGCTTTTTTTTTTTTTTTTTTTTTTTACTGGCACATTGTATTTTTGTGTCCACTTGTTTTTAGAAAATCTGTGAGGTGTCCACAAATACCTGCATCTCCTTTGCGTTTCTGTGTACTGGTTCTATTTGTTAATAATGTGCAGTGCTATTAAACCGTGTCACCAGAGTGGGAGCGACAACCTTGAACATAGCGGCTCTTTCTTGCGGTCTTCAAAGCTGGGAGAAACAGCTTTCTTTGTACATATGAGACTTCTAATAAAAGGTGTATTTCTTCCTGGCCTACATGGTGTCTGAAGTTTTTCTATGGAATCTCTTCTTCCTGGGCTGTGTTTTTTAATTTGTTTGTTTTGTTTGCATGTTAGCAGATACCGATTTTATAAAATACATATTTAGTCAGCGTAGAAAGTTTCTGCATCTCTGAGTGCAGACAGAAAAATGAGTGATGGATTTCTTACTTGAATATCTGAAGAGACAAAGATAGGAGCATTTTCACAGTGACCAAGGGAGCTGAAGGAGTCCACGCTGTGAGCCTCAATAAAAGGAGACATGACAGAAGTCTATGCATTGTCGCCAGTGTCACCCTTCACTCCCTTTGGCTTCCTTCGTGAAGCCAGATGTTTTCCTGGGGTCCCAGCCTCACGTACTGTGAACTGGGAGAAAGTCCACATTTTAGTCTATTTCCCATACTAACCTAGATCTTCTTTTCCAAATCATAAAGTAAGGCTTTGCTATTTCTTTTAAACACACACTCATCAATGTCTGTACGGTGTTTCAAAAACACAGAGGACAAGCCTTCCCTAGGGATGCATAGGGCACACACAGGACTTGTGGCTCCCACCCAAGGGAGAGCTTCGCAAGGACCATCCGAAATGCCCTGTGGGTAAAATGCTTAGTACCAGTTGGTCCTCCAAGCAGCATCCCTCCTGTTACTGAATCTCAATTATGACATCTTGAGATCAGTAACTAGAGGTATGATGTGGCAAGCTGAGGAATTGTCATCTTTTCTGTGCTGCCCTGCATGCCAGGTGTTGGAGAGGAGAAAAGGGAAGATGGGCAGATTTTTTAATTTTCTCACTGACCAGGAGCCCCATTGCCAGTGCCAGAACACATAGGCTATTTATCTCAGCTGACAGCCAGAAGCAGAGTGGGGAAGGTAATCCTGAACCTTGTGGGCACCTAAATCACAAAGGTATTCGTGGATTAAAACTGACAAGCTGAGCTGCTCCAGCAGCAGTAGGGACAGACCCGAGTCAGCATCAGAGTGAAGACGTGCGCTGTCACTCCTGTCTGCATGAACCCACATCACGGGTCCGGCACTTCACAAGACTTGAAAGTCACCTTGGGAGTGGGTGTCCCCAGGAAGAGCCACAGCACTTCAGAGAGAAGCCCCCATCCCACAAAGAGGGCGGAAGGGGACCCTCACTCATGGGACAGAAGGGAAGTGACTCAGATGGCCCCACCATGATGTTATTATTCACTAAGACCATAGTCTTAAATATTTATGTTATAAATGCAAGCGGCAAAAATACAATTCCTAGCTCAATTCCATCTCACTATCAGGAAATATCTGGCACAGGTTAATGATGAAGTAAAGAGGGGTTCTTTTGGGATCCCAGTTCCAGAAATTTCAATCCAAGATGGAGTAGCCCAGCTGGTTTGGGCTGCTGATGAGGGCAGCCCATCCTGGGGTGAGCATCTTGAAGCAGGGGCTCCCACCATGAGGCAGCAAGAGGAGAAACAGAGGAAGGGCCCAGGTTCCCAACGTCTCCTTTGAAGGAACATCCTAGGGACTTGAGAACGTCCCACTAGGGGCCTCTGGGGAAGGTTTGTTTGTTGTTCATTTAGTTTATTTTTTGAGACCATGTCTCAATGTTTGGTGCAGGCTGGCCTTGAACTCAGTATATAGCCCAGGCTTTAGTGTTCAGGTTCACCACGGCCTGATTAACACACCATCCTGGAGATTGACTCTTACACATGAATCTTTGGGGATGCTCATCCAAACCATAGTGATAATACATATGCAGTGTATGTGCTTTAAGTAATACACCACACACACCATGTGGTCAGTTAGGACAAAGGCAGCTCAGAGGTCAGTGGACAGAACTGTCCCCTTAACAGGGTGGGAGAGTTAAGACCTAGCTGTCTAGGGTTTTCTGCCAAGGAGACCAAACATATCTAATCATGGAGACAAACCCACATACTGCTGTTTACTGCTGAGCAGGGGCAGCTGGTATTATGCCAACGCTTTTGGAAAACAGGAAATGCAAGCAGATTGACCCCACTGTGTGCAGTGTCCTTTGTGATCTTCCTCCATAATGGGTCTGAGTAGGAGGCGACAGAGGTGAGAGACAGGGGTCTCAGGGGCTTTCTGCTCACTTATCCCCCTGGACTCACTCTCATGTCAAAGTTGCCCTTGAGATCTCTGCACCCCTCCAGCGTTTTTACTCACAAGTGCACATGCTGGTGTATTCCTATATCAGACACGGGCATGCTCTGCAGGGTGCATCTGTGATTCTGTATCTGGTTATCTGAATGGATTCTCTTCCATTCTGGGGGTCCTTCAAAGCTCAAGTGTTGCCACCCAGGCAAAAACAAGCTAGATTAAGCAGATAGTACTTTGTTTCTGGCTTGCTTTGCTAGCTGTGAGAGAACATGTCACTAAGGACCTCCTAACTACCTCTGCATAATAAAGGTCCTCCTTTGGATGGCATTAAATTTAAATGTATTTAACAGACAACTCTTTTTCCTTTTATTTTCTTCTCTCTTTTTTTCTTCCTTTTTTTTTTGGAACAAAGATTACTCTGATGATGACATGTCAGGTAAGGAGATAATCTTCCTTTCTTCCTTCAGAGACAGGATATCATCTTAATAAGGCAGCTAATAAGAGCGTTCACAGGTCAGCATGAAAGTGATGGAGTTGCTTTATTGGAAATCCACCTTCAGCTCTGAGTAATGATTAGATCACAAAGGCTGGCTGAATGAAATTGACTTTTTAAAAACTGCGGGGGATGAGGGTTGTAATTCTGAACATAAGCTTTCTTTTCCCATTTTTAAAAACAAGAATCTGATCTCCTCCAGAGCTGGTGAGTCAGAGGGAAATTGTTGGCCAAATAAGCTGGAACTCCTCTGCCCATCAGATGGTTTCTTACCTCCAGTTACCTTCCGGGCCAGCGCTCATCCCTTTCCACTTCCTCTTCCAAAGCATTCATACCCCAGTTGGCAAAGGGAAAAAATACATGGATCTCCTTTATCCAGCATTCTCATTTTTACTGTTCAATCTTATAGAAGGGAATCGCACTTTTAAGGAATTCCATCCTGGGTGCTGGAGGGTTAGAAATTCTTTGCTGCAGAGAATATTCGCTCTTCTTCACTTTCTTTTGCCTTTTCTGAGTTCAGATTTCAATGATCTGTTTTTATTTTCTGATTTTTTTTTTTCTTTAAAGCAAACTATCTGCCTTATCTCCCTCTCTTTAGGTGGGTTCAGTGAATCCTGGCCACTGAGAAAATGCAAAATCAAAGCCCAGGTCCAGGCTGGTCCTCCAGCAGCCATGGTGACAATTAGTCATCTTTCTTGCTTGGTGGGTTGCTCCCAGGGTCAATGCAATGTGTGAAACACACCCATTCTCTGAAGGGCTCAGCAAACTGCTGAGTCACCTCACCCAGGTGCTGGCTTAGAAAAACTACTTCTGGTTGAGGCCTTGACACTACCACTCTTGTGAGCCTTCTCTCCAGGTGTCACCAGGCTGGGCAGAAGCTTTCTAAAAGACAGTGCTGTCACAGGAGCCATCCTGTGTCCCTAAAGACCAGCACTACTGCTTTCTAGAAGGTTCCTTCTGAATCTGCAATTTGACTCTCATCAGGGATTTTACAAGGCAGATATTTTAAGTAGAACTTTGATAGTTTCACCATTAAAAACAGTCTTGGGGGGCTTGGGACCCAGGTGACTGCAAACTACAAGGGACAAAGTGCCACGTATTGCTCTCCAGTGACAGAAAAGAGGATAACACAGGTTTCTAAAACAGGGGTGACCTCAACTAATGACGTCATTCTAGGGTTTGGTTCATATCGGACTCACTTTTACTCAGCTCTGGCTTCCAGCAGCCATACACAGTTGTTTACATGGAGAAGGAATGGGCAAAAGCATCAGCCCGGCGGTGCAGATGGGTCGGATTAGGGCTGGCAAGTGAACGCAGGCTCTTCTGGAAAAAGGCAACCCTTCGAATTCATCATGTGACGCCTCAAAGCGACTCTGTCCTGCACCCGCCCCCACATGCAGCTTCACTCCCAGCGTGTTCTGGGTTTTATCTGCCTGGCCTGATTCCATCTGAGCCTGGGGAGCCCTCGCCCTGGCCCATGAAGCCAGTGCATTCCCTCAACATCCGAACCCACCACTGAGAGCCACAGGCTACCACTGGCTTCACATTTTATTTGGTTGATTTATCCATGTAGCCCTTGACAATTTGCAAAATACTCTCTTCTCTTCTCTTTGAGTCTTGGGATGCTGAGAAGATTAGAGAAACGATTGCCCAGATTTTGCACCCAGAAAATTGAGACTCCATAGGAGTGTGTGACTTGCTGGTTGCTGGGAGGCTCAGTCAGAACCCAAAGCCCACTGTCCTAATTGTGACCCACTGTCGTGATGCACAGATTTGATCAAAATAAGACCTGGAGCCAGCTGTGATGGCGCATGCATGTAGTCCCAGAACTGTGGGGCGCTCACGCAAGAGGACTGAAACTTCAAACCAGCTAGCCACTTAGTGAACAAGCAAAATCCTGTCCCAAATAAAAATTTTTAAAAGGCTGAGGAAGTTGCTCAGTGTGAAGATCCCGGATTCCATCCCGGTGTTACCAACAAAAATTATGTTTTAATAATTTTAAATTTCTTGCTTGATGATAATTGCATTTTTCGATGATGGGGAAAATAAGCATAACATAATATATAAAGAATTATGAAATTAGTAATGACTTGAAAATAAATATTCATCACAATTCTATTTATATACATTTGAAAATTATATATGTATATATGCACACCCATATATGTCTACACATACAAGGGTGATCGAAAAATACGATGAATATTTAAATTTAAAATAATTCTTACCATAAAAGACACACTGCCTTTAATCCCCCTAAAAATACTTCCCTTTGTTTCAAATATGCTTACCCATCATTCTTTTCTTTCTCTGAAAAAGTTCTGAAAGTTCTCTCTCATAAATGTCTTCGTGAGATGTGATCAAAAACACAGTAAATCCTGTCACCAAGTATCATTCAACAAGAAG